CTTCATTGATTAGATAGAGACTCTGCTCCCTGTTTTTTCACCCTGTCTCCTTGACGTTGGTACATTCTGTTTGTTATGATCCGAGCTGTGAGTGACACACTGAGTTTGTGGTGTATTAGTCAGAACTGATGCTGCACTCTCGTCATATTTGAATCACTGCCAGAATGACTTGATCATGAACTCAAAATGCCCATTTGAAAGGCCTCATAAATTCAGACCCATGTGAAATGAGTGAAATAGTGAAACACCATTTCTGTTGATTTTAATTGTTCATAATTAGCTACAGTAAACAGCTTTTTTCTTTACACCAATCACTCGGTTTACATTTGCAGACTGCATCATTGACCTTAAATGTAAAATCCAGCTGGCTGTTATCTTCTCCTGTAATGATCAGAAAATGTGACAGAAATACATGCAACATGACAACCATGTTTTTTAATCTGAATAGATTATTTAGTTAGACAAGGTTGCCGTAGGGCTAAATCAGGTTGTCTTTTATGAACATATATACTATGAATTGATGTAAGGAAATAGAACATAGGATGGGACTTTGTATATATTGTATTGAAGTTTAAAGCTGCAGTTGACGTCCTGTTTGATGGCGAAAACATCCAAATTCCACGCTATGCCATGTTGAACAAAAACTCAGAAGCTTCATAATAATATAGCATCATCAAAGTCTTAAAGGACCAGTGTGTGGGATTTAGTGGCAGTGTAGGAGAAACCGTGGTGGCTGAGGGACTGAAGCACAATGACTTTAAGGCGTTATGTATGTGACTGTTCTGTTTTCTCTCCTCTGACCTTTATTGTGCTCTTTACTGCAGAGACCTTCCTCAGTACGGACACAAGCAGTGGCAGTCCTACTTTGGACGTACTTTTGATGTCTACACTAAGCTGTGGAAATTTCAGCAGCAGCACAGGTTATTTCCACCTCTTCACATTGTCTTCCAAGTTGAATGTTATATATATTAATTCAGCACTACTGAAGTTGTTAGGACTAGTTTATACCTTATTTCCCTCAAATATGATGCAAATGTATCTAAATAGTGCCACAGTATATGTTTGCACATGCTATAGGTGATGACTGTCACAGTGTCAGAATGATTTTATTGTCTAGTGCTTAGTGTTATGTGTTTTCATTTATTGACAGGCAGGTTCTGGACAGCCGGTATGGTTTGAAGAGATGGCAGATTGGGGAGGTTGCATCCAAAATTGGACAGCTTTACTACCACTACTAGTAAGTCAAATTGTCACCAAATCACTCCCTTACTGTTGTCTGTTTGTGTTTCCTCTTTTGCTTCACACTGAGTTCAATCTGATTGAACTTTGTCAAAAGGCTCTTCAATGTGCAACCAGTCTGAGAGAGGGGATGGGAATGATTCAGGAAATATTTTATGTTTATATTCTGTTTTATAACTGCAGGTGAAATGACACAAGCAGCAGAGAATGAGTGATGCTGTTTGGATGTAGTAGGAGTTTAAGGACAGTGACAGGAATCAGAATCTTTACATCAGGGATAACAATGTTTGATAAAACCCTGTTCAGTTTACAACCTAGTTGACTGCTTCTATTGGCCTGCTAGCTTCTGCAGTCTGTGTTTACAACCCTACTCATTTCTTACTCATGTTTCCTGTCCCCTCCTGGTTTTGGCCACACATGGAGAGTACATTTCGCCAGGTAGATTTCAGTCTGACTGTGCCATGAGACCATACTTGCCAACCTTGAGACCTCAAACATATATATATTTTGGGCATTAAGGCGGCAACCAATGATTATTTTCATTATCGATGAATCTGTTGATCATTTTCTGGATTAATTGATTAGTTGTCAAAAAATTGTGAAGAATGTTGATCAGTGTTTCCCAAAGCCCAAGATGATGTCCTCAAATGTCTTGTTTTGTCCACAACCCAAAGATATTCAGTTTACTGTCATAGAGGACAAAAGAAAGCAGAACATATTCACATTGGAGAAGCTGAAAGCAGAGGATTTGGACAGTTTTTTGGGAATGGCTGTTATTCAAATGCAACATGTGATTTGAAGTTTGAAGTGAATTTGTCATTTGGGCTAACTTCCTGTCCACTCTTGCAGTTACTTCACTGCATTTCTAAATACCAAAATGGAAGATTTTTTAAACTCAAGTTTAGTTCGTAAATGATGTCACTTTTTTTATATCACAATTTGTAGATTTTGCATAGTGGAATCAAAAGTTATGAAGTGTGTTGAAATGTAGTCCCCTCCAGGGAGAGTAATACACCTTCTACTTTTTTAATCTTGATTGACAGCCTTCGTACCTCAGAAACAAGCTACCTGAATGAGGCCTTTTCGTTCTACTCAGCCATCCGTCAGCGCTCCTACTACTTTCAGGTCAACAAAGAGGACAGGTAAGTTCTAACATTTTTAGTTCAAATATTGTGAGGTGCAGTTTCAGGAAGTAGATGTGCTTGCTTGCTTTATCATAAATTGTTTGGACATTTAATTTTTTTAAAGATTTCTTTTTTTTCCTGCTGTTTTATCTAAGCCAAATGTTCTCATTGTCATTATGTGCAAAGACTATTGCTGCTTTCTGACTTCCCTATTCTGTTGCTAGCTACAAGCTCAGTGGTTTCTTCTAAGGATGTAAATCTTTAAAAGTGCACGTTTGAAAAGTAATTTACTAAAACAGCTGGTCAGTAGTTTTTAACATTCCTCAAACAGGAGGAAATAGTGCATCTGTTGGGGACTATTTTCAGCGGTGGATTAATTCACATTTGGTGCTCTAGTGAGTATTTGGGGAAGCAGGACGGTGTATGTGGGCTTGAGTTCAAATAAATCAGTGTGTGGGTTCATTGTGAAAAATGAGGAAGATCATCACATTTACTCATAATTTCTAACCCACAGACTCTGGCAAGCGAACTAAGATCCTTCGTTGTATGCAAATGGACACAAACTCATTGTAATTGATCAGATTGAAAAGTGAACCATAATGTTTCATCAGTAATTTAAAATAATGTGGATCTGTGTGACTTTACATGTTCATTTTATCTTCTCTTGTCTGTCATCAGGCCTGAATTAGTAGTGAAGAAGCTTCGATATTACGCTCGCTACATAGTCGTCTGTTTACTGCTGAACAAGATGGACCTTGTCAAAGTTTTGGTGAAGGTATGGAAGCAAGTTTTGTTTTTTAACTAGGGCATGCTGAGTGATCAACACGTTGTAACTTGTGCAACCCTGGTTTTCTGAGGAGCACGAAAACACCTGTGTACCTCAGGGGATTTCAATTAGACCCTGGAGAAGAGTTTCCTGTGCCGTAGCACACCACAGTGGGATAACAAAATGAAATACAGAAGATAGCCTTTATTTATTTAGTTTTCTAAATGACAGACATCGACATGACATATAACTTTACATGCAGCAATGAAGGCTGCTCAGTGACGCATGAAGCCCAAAAAAATGAAATGCTGCAAAGAAACTCCCTTAAAATGCTTCCAATGCCAAAATCTTGGTCCCTTGCCTGCAGATTCTGCATTCATATGCAGATATCCGTTACAGAGATTACCAGTGGTGTATTTTGTTGTTTCTGAGAGAAAAACAGTTATTGTTGACACACAAACAGGTCACGTAAAAGAAGTTCTAGGGAGTTAATATGTGCATATTTGACACTACTCCAAACCCCCATTCATAGCCTTCACAGTCTTACCCTCAAATACACCACTCCAGCCAAGCAGACTGAAATCTGTGGTTATCACCTCTCTGGTCAGAACTGTGACCAGTTACAGGCCTTCTGTCAGGAAATATGTTCATTTCTCAGATGGTCAGAGAGACTGTTATCGTGCCGTGGCTCTGGTGCCCAGTGCCCAGTCTGAGAGAGGCCACAAAATGCTGGAGATCTCTCATAGTCTCTCCACCTGGAGGACTGATTAACTTCAGCAGTCTGCAACTGTGCCAAACTGTGTCACAGTGGATCTGAACATGCCCCCCATCCCAGCTGACAGCTGGGCCAAAAAGAAGACAGAATCCAGCATAAATCCCAGAAAGGCTGTGTTACCTTTTTTTTGTTCACCACAAAGACAGGTGGACAGGTGGCTAACACATCACAATCCCCTAGTGTTGACCAGGCAGATGCCTCACTCCCTCAGTAGAGCTACGCTATATCTGCATCTGGCTCGTGGCTCCTGACTCATGGCTATATATCTTTTCTAATGGTTATGTCGTCCCATACAGCTGTATTGGATATGTAGCCCTTGTTGTCAGATCTGTGCTTGGTAAGTTACAAGCATGGAAGTGACATTTAGTGCTCTCACCACCAAGGATACCCCCCAAGGATACCCCCTTGTAAGCTCTCTGTATGGAAATAGGTTGCTACCAATGGCTCTATAGCATGCTTTCCATCTCTTCAAAATCCAGGGAAGAGGCTTTTTGGACGTGGTTCTTGCTGAAATATGGTTTCTCTGCTTAGGACACAGCAACTTCTTCCACAATTAAAGAAATAACTGAGAGTTTGTGAAGCCTTCTGCTCAGATTGGGGTATTTTCTTTTGCCCCTCAGTGGGACTCTGTTGTGACATATTGGGTTTTCTCATGCTACTGTGAAAAAGTATTTAATTGGAATGACCCCAACTGGAACTTTGTGCCTGTCTGCTACCTGCAGGAGTTATCTGAGGAAATTGAAGACTACACACAGAGATTCAACACAGAGGACCAACTGGAATGGAATCTGGTTCTGCAGGAGGTGGCAGCTTTTGTAGAGGTAACCAGCCCTCCAGATGTTACATAACTCAGTATATTTTATTGTCCATCATGCATGTCACAAATTAGTTTGATTAGATGGTCCCGAAATGTACCAATGAGTGAATAATAACTTACACTTGTGTAGTTTGTAACAGGGCAAGACAAATTGAGGAATAAAACTATTGCTGTAATTAAAACCTTAATGCAACATTTAATCTTTCTGGACAGACAACCAATGGGTGAGCTGTGGCTCACAGGTATTTCTTTCCATTTGTAAAACAGGCGGATCCGGTGGTGGTTCTGAATGACAACAACTCTGTCGTTGTCACCAGCAATCGGCTGCAGGAGGGAAGCGTGCCTCCGCTGGAACAAGGCATGGTGGTTGGGCAGCTCGTCCTTGCAGATGCACTAATCATCGGCAACTGTAACAACCAGGTTTTAACCCACTAATACTAATTCACAGTTCCTAACACTTCATACACATCAACATGGCCAGTCTTAGTGAGTAAAGCTTCTTGTTGGCTCTCAAACAAACAAGGAAGGAAACATTTGGAACACCTTTTCCATATAGAACTTACAAGAATAACCTGCAGCTCTGTCGTCTCTGATGTTGCTTTTTTACAGTTTCACTACTGTATAGACAAACTATGTTTATTAAAAAGTTTATCAAACCGTCATAGTATAAAGAACACACCACAAAGTGCATGAAAGCTGCATAAAAAATAGGTTTATTTTTTTATGCAACCAGAACAGTGGGTCTGCTTTTGTATTGTAACAAAACACTGTAACATCCACCATCATAGCCCTCAGCTTACATTTACACTGCTGTCTGTTGTTGGGGGTTTAATCACAAAGATCGATAATCAATATCACAAAACAAAATATTGCAATACAAATTTAACTAACTCATATGAACAGATTCATTCTCATGTTGCAGCTATAGGTATATATTTTTTTTTATATATATATATATATTTAGAATTTTCTCTAAGGCAGGGGTTCCCAAACTTTTTTATGTCAAGGGCCCCGTGGTAGACGAGTTTGAAAACCACTGATCTAAGGTACTAACAAAATGAGCCAAATACATATATTGTGGAAGTCTCCACAGGGGGTAAAACACTTGTTATAATGCAGTACTTCCATCCACACAAGACATCCACTAAAATAAACAGAATTAAAAATGAACTTAATGTCAAATGGATACTCTGTTTGACGACTTCTACAGTTCAGTAGTTGATAGTAAACTTCTCACACTCCAACTGCTGCCTCAGTGTATGATCTCCATCACACCTGGCAGTGTAAAATCTGTACTAGAATGTATTCTGTCTCCCAGCTCTGTGTCTGTCACATACCATTAACAGCTCCCCATTAAAATTTCCCGGTGGAGATTTCTGTTTACATTCAGTGCTACTCACCAAAACACGTGTGTCTCTTTCTAATAAATGTGTTGAATTGCATTTCCTTCCTGGTAAAACATTTGAAAATCCCATTTATTTTTCTTTTTTTGAAACCAGCATTGTTTACATTCATGTTTACCATCTTGCAGTCTTCTTCTTCACTGCCTTTGTGGGCACATTTCTATGTTACTTGTCACGTTAACACCACCTGTATATCAGTAGAGTAGTGTGGCAACATTGGACTGTGTATCGTGTCACTCGCGTGTATGTGCAAAGGTAAAATATGACATAAAAACACTAAAACAAGCTTTCTGTGGATGTAGTTAATAGGTTTTGTTCGTTTATTTCCCTAGAATAGAGTCAGGTGTTATTTCTCTGTTCCAATATGTAGGACAAAGCCCTCCCCACTCTGTCTCTCTGATCTGACTTATTCATCCTCATCATTACTTAACCTTAATCTCCTGCTTTGGGTGGTGCTACAACACTAGTTATTGCTGTGCCCTCTGCTGGTTAGAATATCTGACTGACCAAATAATAATTGTTAAACTTATTTGGAGAGGATTTTAAATCAGTTCTTACCATGAAGGTGGCTCTGATTTGTCTTTGAAGGCCCTCATTTTTTTAGCTAGCAAACAATTTTCTCTGTGTGCCTAAAATATTGATGAAAAAACACATTTCTGAATAGTAAGTTGATGTCAGTGTTGTTTTCTTCCTTTTTTAGGTGAAGTTCAGCGAGTTAACCATCGATATGTTCCGCATGCTGCAAGCTTTAGAAAGGGAACCTGTAAACCTGGCCACACAGACCTCAAAACAAGGCACACTGGTAAGTCATGTTTGAAGATGTTGTAGTTATGGTTTTTTACCAACGCACAGCCCAGAGTCTCACAGAAAGGCTAAATGAATAACCAAATTGAATAGCTAATATGAAAAGAAAAAGCAAATAGGAAAGGGCGTGTCTTTTTAAATGCCTGACTTATATCTGTCCTTTTAATTTCATTTGTGAATCCAGTCATTTATTTCTCTTTTTTAAACTGTGTTTTCAAAAATATTTTAAAATTCCATTATCTATTTATGAATTCATTAATGTATTTTAAATTTTTTATTTACTTAATGACTGTTTTATGTTGTTTTTGTAAATCCTGTTTTGATTTGAACTATTCATTGATGGATTATAGCTGCAGTAGGTACCATTTATAAAAAAACAAACATTTTTGTCATTATTATTACACTTGTACGGGGTTTAAATAGAAGACTATATGAAAACATTAAAATAGAGTAAGATACTACACAGAGTATTTAAACTTAAAATAATAATAGCAACAGCAGTACACATACAGTACCCTCAACTAGTGCTGGACTTGATGGATAGACTACATTATTGCAGGGAATCTTCAAATTCAGAGCAGAATATTCCCACCAAGGCAACAGCAAACATGTTACCTCTCATAAACAATACAGTCTCTCTCAGGCCCAATCAGTAGCAAATACCTGTATGTCACCATGTTTTGGCATGTAAAAGTCGACCTGTAATTATGCTATAATTGAGTGCTGAGTGAGATACATCATCTCCTTGAGAGTTGCATCATTCCCCCACTGGTGTCTTATTCATTCTGGGGGACAAACGTGATGAACAAATGAACACACAGCCGCCTCCTGGAAGACTGGCCACCCTGTCATATATAAAGTAAACTTGAACTTGAATACATTGTTATTCTATTAAATATCTCTCCACAGGAACCCAATGAGAAGCCAGCTAAAAGAGAAAACCCTCACAAGTATTTGCTGTACAAGCCAACGTTCAGCCAGCTTTTTACTTTCTTGTCAGCTTCTTTTAAGGTCAGTATTCACTTTAACCTCGTCCATTCCACCCCTCCCCTACCATGGACCCATCTGTGTCTTTTTTAGGGGAGAAGATAGCAGGTCAGCAGTATATGCCACATAGATGTTTTTCTTCATAATCTGTAATGAACATTGTTTTTTTGGGCAGATGCCTTTTCAAATTTAGAAAGTTCAGAGTGTATAAGAACTGGGCTTAGAACACTATGTTTTAAGTATATCTTTATACTCTATTATGTTGCATAAGTTGTTGCAGTAGTTTTTGCATTGACACCATTTGTGTAATAGATTTGATGCAATTTAACCATTTGCATTGTTTGTTTGGTGGATGGACGAACACTTTGCTCAGAAACCTCCTTATATACATCATGTGGATGCTACTATGGGGACTGACATCACACATGAATACAGTTGGGCTCATTGACTCCACAAGACTCTTATGCAATTCCAATACTGTTTATGGGCCACAAAATTCAGAAATATTCAAATACAGTAGATGAAAATAACTGCGGATCCTAATCCTGCGGTTTATTATTAGACATTCAGAGTCACTATGGTATGTCAGATATACAGTGTCTGTCATCCTCCAGGATTACTAGTTATGGTTTGTTGCTATTTAGATTCTCAGCTCATCTAAACGTAGCATCTTGTCTTGGTAAATGGTAAATGGACCTGTACTTGTATAGCGTCTTTCTAGTCTTCTGACCACTCAAAGTGCTTTTACACTAGGTGCCACATTCACCCTTTTACACACATTCACACACCGATGCACAGCATCAGGAGCAATTCGGGTTCAGTATCTTGCTCAAAGACACTTCGATATGTGGCGGGAGGAGCCGTGTTGAACCAACAACCCTCCGATAAGTGGACGACCCGCTCTGCCTCTGAGCCCTGTTAATATTCTCTTAATTAGAGAACATTCATTGTGAAAAGGGTTAAGTCATTTACTGACTGGGGGAGGTTTGAATTATCTTGTGTTTTCTTCCTCATCCCCTACCTGTTTTCTTATAATTTCATGTCAGCATTTATAGTAGCACTAGTTAGTAGATCTAACATAATTGTATTACTTTGCAATCGTCCATTGCTCTATTTTCCAGGAATTGCCTGCCAACAGCGTTCTGCTTGTCTACCTGTCAGCTACTGGAGTTTTCCCTACTGGGCATTCAGATTATGAAGGTAAAATGCAAACTATTAGACCCCACCTTTTTTTAATATCATATGAAATAATCATGAAATATTAAAACCAAACTTTTTGAATTGTTAAAAGGCAAAGGATGTCTAAACATGTGTATTGTTGCCATCTTAGCACAGCATTCAGCCTCTTACCCTACATCCACACCAAGCTGGATGAATCTGAAAACACTGTTTGTATGTGAAAAGGACGTTTTGCACTCTCGTACTTTAGAAATGCGGCAGCAGCATTCTAATAATGTTAAATAATGAAATTGGTGAGAAAAGGTATTAGAAGCTGGACTATGAGAGGTGGGGGCAGACTTCAGCTGCAAAAATAAGTTTTAAAATCCATCAATGTTGCATCATGGTATCATAACTCACTGCTGTTCCTCAGTAGTGCCACAGCTCCCCTTCACACACCAGCTGCTAAATATGGTGAGAGCACTTGGCTGAATAAAGTCGTAACAAACATTGAGTTAATAGACACAAGAAGAGCTGGAAGTTACAGGGACTGTGATAAATACAAATGCTGACTGATGCCCACTGTTCTGATTGCATAAATACACTTGTTTATGCATATGCTTCATGGTCATCATCATCAGTCACTACTATTAGTGTAGTTGCTGCTACTGTTGTTGCTATGCACCTGTCTGTCTGTCTCTCTCTCTGTCTCTCTTTCTGTCTCTCTC